GCTCGATGGACTTTGTCTAAACTTCAAAAGCTTAAGAGTTTGCTGAAGCATTGTTTCAAACTCCTTGATTCCATGTAGATTGTGGCAAGCAATGTCAGATCGAAAATCGAGGTGGAATCACCCATCCTCGGGGCAAGTCCGTGACCGCGATCATATACGGCAATGCCGTCATCACCAAAAGAGAGGCACCAAAGTCAGAAGAGGTGGAGGGGGGCAGCTCATAAGAAACAGAGGGATGCAGGTTTTGGTTCGTCTTTGGAACACATTAGGGCTCTGCTCAAGGAGTTGCTCCCAAAGCACAACTCGCAGCGCTACAGCAAGAAGCACCACTATTCCAACTGTCACCTAGCAAGATTACTGAAGAGCAATTTAAGAAGAGGTACGGGCTGATCGAACAGATACCAGATGCCACGCCTCCCTATGATCGGTAAGGATTCTCGACCTTGTCTTGTGTCTAAGTTTCTCGACATTCCAGGTATAATCGAAAGGTGTTTCCAGGAGGGAGAGCGCCGTGCGTGTAGTTGGAGGTTAAAGATGTGTACGCCACATTGGTTTTCCAAGACAAGGGCCGGCAAGCATTTTCTCTAGGCTCTTGTGTTCATGTGCCCTTTTCATGCTGTACAAGGCAGAGTGTAAGCACGATGAGCAGGAACCAGAGTGAGGGGAGTTCCAGTTAGAAATGGGCTTAGAGTTGGAGGAGGATGAGGAGGCACAGGATGAGGAGGCCGTTTTTCTGGACCTGGAGTTTCCACATGATGGCATTGATCAACCTACTAACGATGTCACCTCCTCTGAGGAGGAACAGGCCGAGCTTGATTGGCATTCAGGCATTCTAGCGTTCACCACCTCGATCCTGGATGTGCGTACACTAAGATTGGGAATTGATGTGAAGCACCGCGATCTGCTACAGGTATGTAAAGCTGGTTAGTATCTGAAATCTGCGCTAAGATCTGGTACAGGTTTTCATGTACGTGGATCACTGCCAGCTTAGGGAAGCAAGCAAGACCTCCAACATATCTTCATGTATGTACCAGTTTCTAGTTTCGTGTTTTGAAATCAATTTCTGTTTGTTTTGTGTATGCCATGGACATGAGGGAATGGCGATATGCCATTTCTGAGATCGATGGATATGTGCAGGTCAAGGGAAACCAGCTGGTTGAAGCTTCTCTGCATTAGTTCCCTGACTCACCCACAGAGCCGATCTCGGAAGAGTTCACACGCGCCTTCACCACGCAGGAGGTTCGGGATAAGTTTGCAGCCTGGAGAGCATCCTTGTTATCGGAGGACATTACGATTCCGGATGGGTCGCACCCTGTTGGCCGGTTGCTCCAAGGTGAGTTTTTGTCGTGTGTTTAAAGTCTGTTGCCTTGAACAGGCATGGGGGATGCCGAGCTTTGAAAGCGGCTTTGCAGCCATCTCAGTGGGAGAGCTCAAGTTGTACTCGGGTATCCTGATTGGCCAGTGAGTGCGGCGCTGGACTCGAAGGAAAGTTTGGTAGTTCGCACCTGATGGTGGGCATGCTAGCCCCATGGATTAACGTGAGGTTTTCTCGTGGAGGTAAGCTTTTGATCTTTATTCCTTCCGCTTGACAAGCTTTTCGTTCTCTTAGGTGTAAGCGAGCGTGTCAACTTAGACTTCTAACTACAACCTGCAATATTTTTGTCTCTGTGTTTCTAAATTGTT